GCGGCGTTCGACATTGAACGCCGGCGGCGGGGTCGCCGCCTGTCGACACGACGCGAACCTACCGCAGAGCAATCCACGCGGCGCAAACTATGTGGCGCAAACTCAAAATTATGTTGCATCCTCGGGTGACCTGGTCTGTCTTGTCGCGGCCCTATCCGCGTCGAGTCCGTGTCGAATCCACGTCGGACTCGTCGGATCGGTGTCGGATCCGTGTCCAATCCGTGTCGAAGCCGCGCCACATCCGCGTCGAGCCCGCGTCGAGCCCGCGTCGGGCACAGGAGCAGACACCAATCTTCGGGGCAGGCGAGGCCCCCCGAAATTGACGAACGGACAACACGCACCCATACCCATAGGGGGTCGTTGGGAGGAGGACTGGCTATGGGTATTGGTGCGGGTTGTCGGACCCTGGGGAACGCTCCCGTTCGAGCGGGGACTCCCATCCGACACCACGCACCCATAGCTCTCTCCGACCCCCCTATGGGTATGGGTGTGTGTTGTTGCTTCGTCAGAAGATGCAACGCAACCAGTGGTGCAAGCTATGTGATGCAAGCTGTGTGGCGCCCACTTGGCGCCGACCCCCACGAGGTCTTGACCCCTTCCCCGAGACCGGCTTGTCGCCCTGGGTCGCTCCTTGACGCTCCCGAGGCCCCGTATGGGGGCCCCCCGGTGGCCGAAACTCGCGAACGTGTTCACAGCGCGACGGGGCCTGGGCATGTGGCGCACGCTGCGTGGTGCTCCACTTGTGTGCTGCAGGCCCTGCAGCAACCAGGGGGACAGCTTCCGATGCAGTGGAGGCCCGACAACGAGACACCTCCCACGAGAAGCCCAACCCTGAGACCCCAAGACGTCCATTGAGTTTTGGTGTGGGAACGTCGCGCTTTCCACGGCAAAACCCTGGAGGCAGGCAAGATGTCTCTTGGCATGGGTCTCAACTGCAAGAACACCCTTCAGGCACATGAGGGCCTCCGCCGGTGCCAACCTGAAGAACCTTCGAAAGTGCCCTCCCCCAGGAGGCACAAGAGCCTCCAACGCGCAAGAGGAAAACACCAGGGGACCCCCCTCGATTCTCGGTGTGGGAGCGTCACGCCTTCCATCGCCAAAAGCCCTGGGAGGCCCAAGCCACCCGGGGCACCCGGGAGGCCGCCGCGGGGGCGACCCTCTCGGGGCGGGCACCCACCGCTCTCGCCGGCCGCAACCCCGGCATGCACGTCCGCGGGGAAGGGACAGGAGGGGACTGGCAGAGGGGGCGCCCAAGAGGGGGGGCGCCTAATCCTCCTCCTCCTCCCCCTCCTCCTCCTCCTTCTCCTCCTCCTCCTCCTCCTCCTCCTCCTCCTCCGCCTCCGCCTCCGCCTCCGCCTCCTCCTCCTCCTCCTCCTGCCTCTGAGGGGCAACGAGAAGGGGGACTGGCATAGGGGGGGACGCATCGACAAGGTATCGGCGATATATGATCCAGGTCGAGGGCCCACGGGCCCCCCCCCCCAGATGGTATGGTCCCAGGATTCCTCGCCCCCCCCCCCCAGATGGTATGGTCCCAGAGACGACGACGACGACGACGACGACGACGACGACGACGACGACGACGGCGACGGCGACGACGACGGCGACGACGACGACCACGACGACGACAACGACGGCTGCGGCGACGACGCCGGCGGCGGCGGCGGCGACGACGACGATGACGACGATGACGACGGCGACGACGACGATGGCGACGACGACGACGACGACGACGACGACGTTGACGACGTTGACGACGAGGACGACGAGGACGACGAGGACGACGACGACGACGACGACGACGACGACGACGACGACCTCTGAACCACCACAGCACCACACCACATCCACAGGGGGGGGGAACCGCAGCGCAGCACCACGCCACGCCCACAGGGGGGGGCGGGGGGGGCCCAATGGCATCAGCATTGGGGGGGGGGGCCCAAGCCCTGGACCATATATCGCCGACAGATCGGCGGTAGGCCCCCGATGCTAAAATCCGCACGTTCCTGGGCAGGTTGGGGCTATTGGACACCTATCGGCGATCAACGGGCGAGTGGGGGTTGATGCATCCCCCCCTAAAGCCTGTCCCCCCTATCGTTGCCCCTGAACGTCCAAATATCCGTTAGTAATGGAGAGACAAACAACGGCGTAAACATATTTTTTAAGAGGTCCACGCAGATTTCTCGGATCTCGGGTCCCAATCACTGGCGCGCGGAGCGCGCCAAGGGCGGCGCCTGGAGGCGCCGCCAGCGGGGTCCCAGCGTGGATCCAAAGAATCCGCGCGGACCGCCAGAACTTTATGCTTCTGCCTGTTTCCTTTGTCGGTGTAAGAGAACCGAGAACCCCTAAGGCAACCACTGCTTGGAATAATGGTCTCCTAAGCAGACATGGAATCATAGATGTACAGGTTAAAACAGGGAGAGGGAGAGACAGCACCAGAAACAGAGAGGGAGCGAAAGAGAGAGGCGGAGCGATAAGGGGGGGCGGCGCACCCACTCGATCTGGCCGCCGTTGGGGTCCTCGCCAGTCCGCGCTCTGTCTCTCTCTCTCTCTCTCTTTCTCTGCCTCTCCCTCTCCGACTCGTGGCTCTACAATGAGGGCTGCGCCCGCAGAACCCACAAACCGTCTGCGGGCAAGACGAAAGGACACGTCGGCGTGATCGGCCCCGGACTTCCAGCGCCCTGGGAGCAACGACGAGCAGCCCGTGGCGGAGCCACGGAAGATTATAATGCTCTGGGCCGCTCAGACGCCCGTACAGTGGAGGCCAGTCCACAAGCCACAAGGAACCCAACCCTGAGACCCCAGGACGTCCATTGATGTTTGGTGTGGGAACGTCGCGCTTTCCACGGCAAAACCCTGGAGGCAGGCAAGGTGTTTCTTGGCATGGGCCTCAACTGCAAGAACACCCTTCAGGCACATGAGGGCCTCCGCCGGGGCCAACCTGAAGAACCTTCGAAAGTGCCCTCCCCCAGGAGGCACAAGAGCATCCAACGCGCAAGAGGAAAACACAAGGGGACCCTCCCCAGGGGAAAGCAGAAGGTACCGATACCGCTACTCCCCAGACCTCTCCTGGGGTGCGTTCCGACCAGGATTTCGAGGCGAATCCAGCGGCCGCGACGATGGAGGCCCAGGAGGCCCCAAAAAAGGAAAAACTCGGGGAGGGCAGAGGCGTGGGCACCTCTTTCCTTCTCTGCTCTCGGAGCCGACCTCGAGCTCGTGCCTCGGTCCGGCTGCAGGCGGGGCCCCCGACGCAATAGCGTGCGGGACCTGCGCGGCGGCGCCGCCGTGCGCCGCCGCGCCTCGCCAAGAGCTCGCGCGGGCGCCCCGCAGCCCCAAAGGCATTTTGTAGGGGATGTCTCGAGTGAAACGCTGATGTTTCAACGAATCGGGGATGGACAGACCTCCCTTTAGTAAAACGTGGTTTAGTGAAAACGACCTGGGGCCCAAACCTGGCGGGCGCAAGCCTGGAAAATCACGGCCGCGGCGCCCTCTCGAGAACCGAAAACGGACAATTCACTAATCGACGTGTCACTGTTGGGGGCTCTGTCCACCCCCGAACGAAAACGTTAGAACCAAGTGTTTTTCCTATATTTTCGCTTCTTGGGCCATCTTGGGTTGGGGGTCATCCGAGATCGCGCCGAAAAGATGCCTTGCAAGAGCTGCGTCGGCATCCCGTTTTTTCGAGGGGACGGCCGGGTGCCCCTCTCGGGGCAGCTTACGGCGCCCCGCCGTGCCCGCGCTCGCTCGGGGCAGGCCCGGGTCCGCGTGCAGCCGCTGCCGCGGCAGAGCTGGCCGCGTGGTCTCCAAGACAAATCCGGGGAGACGCCGAGAGACACTTGAGGAGCTGCTGGCTCTTCTGTTCGCCGTCCTCTGCCTCTTCCTCATCCACCTGTTCCTCCTCCTCTCTCCTCCCTCCTCCCCCTCCCCCTCCTTCCTCCTCCTCCTCCTCCTCCTCCTCCTCCTCCTGCTGCTGCTAACGGCTGTAAGTGACGATGTCTGTCGCCGTGCTCTCCTCCTCCTCCTCCTGCTTCTCCTCCTCCTCCTCCTCCTGCTTCTCCTCCTCCTCCTGCCCCTCCTGCCCCATTCTGCTGCGCCAGAGCTGGCCGTCTCTTTGGGCCTGCGACCTTCTTGGCTGCGCGCAGAGGGGGTAAGGGGGACGAGGCACGCGACTGCTGAGAAGCAGGCGTGCTTCTGAGAGGCCTTCTCCCCTCCCCCATACCCTCCTCTGCGCAATATCGACCTTTTTGCCGTATGCCACAAGCTGGTGCTGGCACAAGGCTTGTGGAAGCGTGCGCAATGCCGTGTCAAGCTGTGCGAGGCCGCCCTGAGCGGCATCCTGCCAACATCATAGGCGAGGAGGAGGGGGGAGGTTTGGGTGGAGGGCTCTTGCACGACTCGCACAGTTTGCAGCCGTGGCCTCGTAATAGCATCTGTTACTGCGCTCGCTGCGGATGCACGGTCAATTGCTCCCCGAAATCTTGCCCGGGCCTGCCGCTGCGAGACTTGCGAAGGCCGCGAGAACCTGGCTCGGATCCACCGTGATCTGCACCCAGATCTCCAGTAGGAGATCGACTGCAGAATTGATGTGTTCCCAATGTGTCCTGCTGAATATGTGAACAAGTTGTAGAATCTTCGCTGAGCTGCGAACATTATGTGCATGTGTTGCTGATTCGACAAGGAAATCACTTTGGGGGAAATTCAGCTCTGCAGTCGATCTCCGACTCGCGGCGTGGGAGGAAGGGGAAGGCTCGGAGCGAGGCGGCCACCTTCCCCTTCTCCTCCTTCTTGCTTCACGTCGTCCTCCTCTGTCCTCCTCGCCCGCCCTCCCTCATCCCTCCCTCACTCCCCCAACCCTTCCCCATCCTCCCCCAACGCCTTCTGGACCACGACGACGATGACGACAACGCCGAACGGCCGACGAACGACTGGCGGACGACGAGGACGAGGACCCAGACATCCGACGACAAGAGTTTTCCTTCACGGGGTGTAAGAGCACGTTTCTTCATTTCTGGCGATAATGGGCGTTGGAGGGGGGGTATAATGTAACGCCCCCCCCGCCGTGTGGCTCCGGCACCACAGCCGCGCCCACGCGCACGACGATGATAAGCGACGAGCTCCGAGCAACGAGCGACGAGCGACGACGACGACGACGACGACGACGCGAGCAGCATGTAGGTTTCGGCCTGCCCACAGCGCCAGTGTACACCACAACGCTCGTGTGCACCACAGCGCGCGTATACACCACAAGGCCTGCGTAAACCGCAGCAGCCGTGTGCGACGCAGCGCCTGTGTACACCACAATGCTTGCGTGCACCGCAGCGCTGGTGTACACCACAGCGAATGTGTAACACCGCAGCAACCATGTGCAACACAGCGCCTGTGTACACCACAGCGCCTGTGGACACCACAATGTTCGCGTGCACCACAGCGCGCGAGTACACCACAATACCTGCGTACACCGCAACTGCCGTGTGCGACGCAGCGCCTGTGTACACCATAGTGCTTGCGTGCAACATATCGCCAGTCTACACCACAGCGCCTGTGTACACCACAATGTTTGCGTGCACCGCAGCGCCTGTGCACACCACAGCGCCTGTCTACACCACAGCATCCGCGTGTACGCAGAGCTGGTGTACACCACAGTGCTTGCGTGCACAGGACAGGTAGAACGAGCATGTAGGTGAGATCATGCTGCGAACAGCTAAACGCCAAGCCAGAAAAGTGCTGATAATAGAATGCGACGTTCTTCCCTCCTCCCTCCTCCAGCACCTCCACCTCCGCCTCCTCCGCCTCCTCCTCCTTCTCCTCCTCCTCCTCCTCTTCCTCCTCCTCCTCCCCATGCGGATCCCCATGAGATTCCGAATGCGGACCAGACTCCCATTCGGACTTCTATGCGGACGCCGATGGAGATCTGGATGCGCACGGCGGCAGTGCCCGGAGCGCACTGGGGGGGGGAGGCTTTACGTTATAGGGGGGGAAGGGGGGTTGGGTGCTATAGTGCCCATTATGCCCGAAGCAAGAACGAAACACGCTCTAAGTCCTCGTCCCCGATCCCTGTTTGATTGATAGCCCCTGGGCATCACAAGCCCCCGAGGGCCGAGATCGAGGAAAAAAACAGCTTGGACAAAAAACATACATCTCGTCGGAGATCTGGGCAGTGAATTGAACACCTGCCATCGGACATGTCTCGGGGAGCGCTCTGGCCAGAATTTCGAGGCGGATCCGGCCAGAATTTCGAGGCCCCCTGGAGGCACAAGAAGGGCAAAACCAAGCTGGCAGTTAACTATAGATGTGTATACATCTGCACATAGATACAAGCGGAGGTCTGGGCCGACGACGACGACGGCAACAACGAGGTCCTGCGCCACCACGAGAACGACGAGGTCCTCGTCTTCGTCGTCCTCCTCGTCCTCGTCGTCGCCTTCGCTACCCTCGTCAACGTTGGCGACGACGAGCCTCGACTACACGCAAGAGTGACCCTGGGTAAGAGTGACCTCTGGTGCGCGGCTTCTAGGGGGCCGCGGGGGGACCAAACGCAAGCGCGCAAGACGCCACCACCGCACCGCGCTCGGCGATCGGGAGGCCCCAAAGGGGGCCGTACCAAAGGTCACTCCAGCGAAGGGTCAATCTTGCGCGTAGTCGAGAGCCCCCCCTCGTCCTCCTCGTCCTCCTCGTCCTCGTCCTCCTCGTCCTCCTCGTCCTCCTCGTCATCGTCGTCCTCGTCCTCCTCGTCCTCGTCCTGCTCGTCCTCGTCCTCCTCGTCCTCGTCCTCCTCGCCCTCGTCCTCGTCAGCGTTGGCGGCGACGAGCACCCCCCCGGGCGAGGCCGGCGGCGGCGGCCCCGGGCCTGCGGCTGCCGCGGGGCGCCAGGCGCCTCCTGGAGCTCGGCGGGCAGGGCCTGCGCTCGGGCCGGGGCGGGCGGGGCGGAGGGGGGCTCGCGCTCTGACGCCGACGCGAAGGGGGGGGGGGGCTCTTCGTAGACTGCTCGAGGAGGAGGTAGGAGCAGGAGGAGGTAGGAGGAGGAGGAGGAGGAGGAGGAGGAGGAGGAGAAGGAGGAGGAAGAGGAGAGGTAGGAGCAGAAGGAGGAGTAGGAGGAGGAAGAGAAAGAGGAGGAGGGAGGAGGAGGAGGGAGAAAAGAGGAGGAGGAGGAGGAGGAGGAGGAGGAGGAGGAGAAGGAGGGGAGGAGAGAGGAGGAGGAGGAGGAGGAGGAGGAGGAGGAGAAGGCAGCAAGAGGAGGAGGAGGCAGCAGGAGGAGGAGGGAGGAAGAGGAGGACAAGGAGGAGGATGAGCAGGAGAAGGAGGCGGAGGAGGTGCATCGAAGGTCGAGGACTGGTGCGCGCGGACGCCTTCTGGGGGGCCTGCGTGGGCCTGTGGAGGCCTCCGTAGAGGTAGAGGCTCTCGGGGGCCTCTCCGAGCAGAGCCCCACGCGGCGGCCAGGCCTGCCAGGGGGAGTTGCCGCGAGCCACCATACAGTCGAGGCTGATTGGAGAGGACACGCGAGAGGCCACAAGACCCTCCCGAGGGCCACGTTGCGATAGGAACGTAGAAGGCATGGGCCGCGAAACACAGGACACAAGGGTACCCTTGATTCGGCAGGGTCGGCCCACTCATCAGTCTCGCCTGTAGTGAGTGTTTTCTCATTCGGCGTTGAGGCATTGGGCGGAAATGTGGGGGGGAGGGAGAAGGCTCTGGCTCCGGGCCCTTGCTCAGTGCCGCTGTGTGCAGCAATGCGTCGCGCCCTGTGGACGAGACTCCACCTGCTCGGAAACTGGCGCCCAAGACCAGCCAAGATCTACGCCGTCGGGGAGCGGGGGAGATGGGGAGGGGTGCGCAGGCCCGCGCCGGTCGGCAAAACAATGCATAGGACAACGATCACATGCTGACCAGGGTCGATCGAGGATGCTCAGCACGCGCGTCGGCCCAGCGTGTGCTGACCCCGCTGAGCTCCGCCGATGGGTTGCGGGCTGCGGCGGCCCTCGGTGCACCGCCTGCGCCGTCTTCGTCTGGGACTCCTGGATGGGGTCCGAGTATTAATAGGAGGGGCGCCGGATCACAGCGCCACGTCGGGGACGCTGGCGATGCATCGACACGCCGTCGGCGTGGAGAAAGGCAGGTTCCGCATCGAGCCGCACCGCCGATGCATCGGCGATGCGGCGCGGTGCATCGGCCCCATCGATTCGGTCCCCATCTGTGAGGCCTAGGGCCTAGAGTGTAGGAGGCCTTCCTGAGAGCGACTATATGAAGCAACTCCGCCTCCACTGGGTCCTCATATGAAATCCTCCTGTTCTCGGCGTGCTCAGGCAGCATTGCTAATCAATCAAATGGACGGTTCGGCCTAAATTCCGATTAAAGTCTGGTAAGCCCGATTGGCGGGGGCACTGAGTCAGATTAGGCCAAATTGAGCCCAGGAGAAAGCCTGACTAAGAAGGATAAAGCGGAGATGAGCGGGACTGTCGGATTAGGCCTGTTTGCGCCGTTCTCGCAAGGGAAGGTTTGCGCTCTCCGCTGCGAGAACGGCGACCATGTTCCGCAACAGGGCAAAATCGGACTAAGCCCCACAGGAGCTGGACACATCTGAAACCCATAGCCGAGGCCATTTCACAATGGGTCTGCCGCAAACTGGCCGTTCTCAGGGCTGAAGAGTCACGCAACGCTCGGTCCCACAATTGGGACCTGCTGGAGATCCTACTTGAAACTGAACATCTCCGCGTCCTGCTCTAGTCGGTGGAGCCCCTGGCTCAGGGCAATCGGTCTGTCTGCAGCCGCGCTTTAAAAAAGAAGCTGGATCAGACTAAGCCTGACCTGAGTTGACCGCCTCGGAGTAAGTCTAAGAGCTCGCGACGGGCTTCAAGAGGCAAAACTGCCTAATCTCTAGAGTTCTGAGAGTCTGCTCCTTGGCCAATGGTTGGCGAGAAACACTCGGGTGGGCCACTGGGCTGGTCATATGCGAGTGTTTCTCTGGTGGCCTGGCCACTCTCTGCCGAACCTCGAAAAATAAGCCCACCATTGTGGGTATGCTTCCTGAGAACCTGCCGTCCAGAACTCTGCCCACCCGTGGCACGTGGCCGCCAAACATTTGTCAGGGACGACTTCTATCTGCCCGGTCACATCGACTTCCACCCATGCGCGTGCTCCTTAAGCCCAGGCGCCTTAAGCTGGGGCCGATATCCAAGGCGGTTCCTGCGGCATCAAGGTTGCACTGCAGCTGTAGCAGAAAAGCCCTCGCTTTCTATGTTCATCTGTACCTGCCCACTGAGCACGTGAGGAGGCCTTTCGCATCCTTGCCCATGGGCTCCGACAGGAGCCCAGCCCACACAGCGAAAAGAGTGCTCATAGCACCAGAATGAACAGTAGCAGAGGCCCTAAACAAGGCGCGCGTGAGTATTCCTGGGGACAAACAGGTTCCCAGGAATCACTGGTGGGGGAGGCACTTCTCCCCTTTTCAGAATGTGGCTCTCGTCTTAGCGCCGCGCACATTCGCTTCAAAAGTTTCACGAACTCCCATGATCAGCGTACCAGAAATTGCGTTGTGGAGGGATTCAGGATTATATGGCGCAGCAATTACATGAATTCGGGGTGTTGAAGTCCCAGGAATGGCTTTCTAGCACGATTCAGGATTGCCAAAACGCAATATTCAAAGTGATCCGTGGCGTTGGAATCCCGAGAACAATGTTTTGGCATGCTTCAGGGTGTTCACACGGTTGTCTTCCAACGAGGCAGTTCCCTCAATGGAAATGAAGCGTTGTAGGGCCTATTAACCGGGAGCTTGGAGGGAGTGTTTATTCAAACATCGTTGATGATTCTTGGGTTTACACTGGTCCTCCTCCTCCTCCTCCTCCTCCTCCTCCTCCTCCTCCTTCCTCCCCACTCCTCCTCCTCCTCCTCCTCCCTCTCCTCCTCCCACCACACGTTCTCCGCCCTCCGCCCCGCCTAACCGCCTCCCCTTCCCCCCTCCCCCTCCCCCTCCTCCCTCCTCCTCCCTCCTCACTCCTCCTCCTCCTCCTCCTCCTCCTCATCCATCTCTCATCATCATATCATCATTCATATCATCATCATATATCATCATCATCATTTCATATCATCTCATCTCATCAGCATCTCACCACATCATCATCATTCATCATCATCGTCATCATCATCATCATCAGCAGCAGCAGCAGCATCTTCATAATATCATCATCCATCATCCTCACCACCACCACCACCACCACCACCACACCACCCACCCCATCATCATCATCATCATCATCATCATCATCATCATCATCATCATCATCATCATCATCATCACATCATAATCATCATCATCATCATCATCATCATCATCATCATCATCATCATCATCATCATCATCATCATCATCATCATCATCATCCCCCTCATCCTCCTCCTCCTCTCCTCCTGTTCGCTGCGCTTTCAGGCCCTCCTGGGCGCCAAAGAAGGCCAAGAACAGAGAAGGGAAGCAGCACTGGTAATTCCCATCGTCCACCACCCCTATCGTCCACCACCCCCTCGCCCCCCTCGCCCCGCCCGCCCCGCCCGCCTCGCCGCCGCCGCCGCCCCCTGGCACCCCGCCGATATGATTTGTTCGCCCCGCGGCTCCAGCGGTCCCCGTCCGCTCACTCCGGGGTAGAGGTCTTTTGCTCGGGGCCCACTTCCGACGGCCCCGCTGCCCGAGAACGGGCCCCAGCGGCGGAGCTCGAGGAAAGGAAGGCGCAGGAAGCGAAAACATGATGTCGTCTGCATTCTGGAGCCCAGGGGTGGAAAATCGAACCCTGGACACATCCCGGGGCGCGTTCTGGCCAGGATTTCAGGGCTGATCCGGCCGCGGCGACGCGGGCGCTCCAGGAGGCCCCTAAAGGGCCCCAAACGTCCGAGGACTCCGAACCCCTCGAAGCTCGGACCTCGAAGCTCGGACCTCGCAAGACGGCGGGAATGAAAACATCACATCACGGGAGGTCTGGGCCGCCCTCGGCGGCCCTCGGGGCCGAAGCGGCGGCGCCGGCGTCGTCGTGGCACGGGGCCGTCGCCTGGGCCGCCGGGACGCGCGCAGGCGCGGGGAGGGGAGGCAGCTCGGCGCCCGCCTGCGGTGCGCGTTCTCTGGGTGGCGAGGTGGGCGCGGGCCCCTCCTCCCACTACCGCCTCTTCCTCCTCCCTTCTCCTTCCCTCCTCCACCCCACCCCCCCCTCCCTCCTCCTCCTCCCTCCTCCTCACGCCCTTCCTCCTCACTCCCTTCTCCTCTTGATTCCTTCCTCCTCCTACCAGGCTCCTCCTCCTCCTCCTCCTCCTCTCCTCCTCCTCTCCTCCTCTTCCCTTCTCCTCTTGCCTCCTCCTTCCTCCTCCTCCTCCTCCTCCTCCTCCTCCTCCTCCTCCTCCTCCTCCTGCTCTGGGAGGCCGAGGCGAGACGACGCAGCCAGCGACGGTGTCCCTCGGGCAGCGGGTGCGCCCCGCGCGCAGCCCGCGGCCCCCCGCGCAGGCTTAGAAGGCCCAGTCCAGGGGGGCTCCAAGCCGGCACGATGACGAACACGGCGGGGACGCGGGACCCAACCGCGATGTGAAAAAATCACGACGGAAAATTCTTCGCTATTTTCAGACTCTGGGGGCCCTCGCCAGGCCTCGGGGCCGTCAACGAACGACTCGAGACGAAAACCTGGTCCAGGGGAAGGTGTCTAGACTTCTGGGGGTCGACGTTACGAAAAAATCTCACCGTCGGAGGTCTGGGGAGGGAGGGGCGGAGGGGGCGGGTGAGAAGGGGGGGAGTACGAAGACGGGGAGGAGGAGGAAGAGGGGGAGGAAGAGGAGGCGGAGGAGGAGGAGGAGAGGAGGAGGGGGAGGAGGGTGGTGGGAGGAGGAGGTGGGAGGAAGGAAAAGGGAGGTCTTGGGGTGGGAGGGCGGAAGGGGGGCGGTGGAGAAGGGGGGGAGTCACGGTAGGAGGGACATGTGAGGAGGATGGAGGAGGAGGAGGAGGTGGTGGTGGTAGAAGGAGGAGGTGGGGGGTAGAGTGGTGGATTGGAGACGGACTTCCTGTTGCCATGGCGGAGGCAGGAGGTGGAGGCGGGAAGTTAAGAAGATAGAAGAGAGAGTGCAGGTGGCAGAAGGCGCTGATAGAAGGGTGATCGGAGGAAATATGACGGGTTGGGGAGGGATTGTGGATGTCTCTGGACTCCTATCCTCATCTCTCCTTGGATGGCTCTCGTCCCTGCTCATCCTGTCCCGCCGCACTCAGCAGCCCTCGAGGCCGCCACTCCTCCCCCCTACCTTCCTCCTCCTCCTCCCTCCTCCTCTCCTCCTCCTCTCCTCTCCTCATCCTCCTTCTCTCCTCCTCCTCTTCCTCCTCTCCTACCCTTCGCCTCACTCCTCCTCCTCCTCTCTCCTCCTCTCCTCCTCTCCCCCTCCTCCTCCTCTGCTAATCCTCTCCCCCCTCCTCTCCTTCTCCTCATCCTCCTCTCCTCCTTCCTTCTCCGCCCTCCTCCTCCTATCCCTCTCCTCCTCCCCCTCCCCCCCTCCTCCTCTCTGCTGCCTCCTCCTCCTCCTCCTCCTCCTCCTCCTCCTCCTCCTCCTCCTTCCCTGCCTCCTATGCCTCCTTAGTCCGCCCCCCTTGTTCCCCTTCCACGACGACGAAGTCGGTGGAGACGACAACGACTCGCCCCATCCCATAGATCGCCGGGGATCGTGTCTTGGCTAGTCCCCGACAAGGCCACGACGAGATCCGACAGATGCCCATGGAGGAGGCAGCCGTTGACAACGACAACGACGACGACGACGACGACGAAGACGACGACAACGACGACGACGACGACGACGACGACGACGACGACGACGACGACGACGACGACGACGACGACGGCGGCGGCGGCGGCGGCGGCGGCGGCGGCGGCGGCGGCGACGGCGGCAAGTGCGGCGGCGGCGGCGGCAAGTGCGGCCGCGGGCGAGCGCCTCCTGTGCCCTGGCGCGACCGCCGCTGGCCCCGGGGATTTCCGGCAGCCTCCCCAGGCGGCGCACGGCTGCAGGAAAACGGGAGGAGCCTCGATCCCTGATCTCCCCTATTCCTTCCCCCGCTCCTCCTCCTTACGCCCATCCTCCTCCCCCGCTCCCCGCGTCCCTCATTCACCTCTTCTGCATCCTCCTCCTCCTCCTCCTCCTCCTCCTCCTCCTCCTCCCTTTTCCTCCTCCCTTTTCCTCCTCCTCCTCCTCCTCCTCCTCCTCCTCCTCCTCCTCTTTGCTCTTTGCCCTGCTCGGCAGCGAGTTGCCCAGCTGCTGGTAACACGAACGGCGGCAGCAAAAGAGCAGGACAAAGAGAAAGAGAGAGAGAGAGAGAGAGAAAAAAAAAAGGAGCCATATATATATATATATAGAGAGAGAGAGAGAGAGAGACGAGGAGCCACGCGCGCGCGCGCCCAGAGGGTTCTGGGCGGCGAAGAGAGACGGCCTGGCGGGGGCAGACACCCCGGGATCGGACGCCTGGAAAGGAACACCGACACCAACACGGGAGGGGTGCCCCCGCCAGGGGAGGGCGATCCTGGACGCTGGTCCTGCTGGGAGTTCCTTTCGGCCACCTGCAGAGCCCGAGCATTACCACCATCGCCGAGACCAACGGAGGAGGCGGAGGAGGAGGAGGAGGAGGAGGAGGAGGCGTGTTTGCAAGATTGTGGCGCTCTCGCCTGTTCGGCTTTCCGACGCTCCAAGGCGGCCCAAGAGGCCCCCAGGGCCACCCCAAGACGTGCCGAGAGTTCTCCAAGAGGGCCCCAAGACGGCCCAAGAGCGCCCCAAGACGGCCCAAGAGGCGCCCAGGACGGCCCAAAAAGGCCCCAAGACGGCCCGAGAAAGGGGCCCAAGAGAGGGAACACGAATCGAAAATCCGAGCCTTCCTTCCGCCTCAAGAGGCTCCCAAGTCCCCAAGAGGCGCCCAAGAGGCCCCAAGAGGCCCCCAAGAGGCCCCAAAAAGACTCCCAAAAGGCCAGAAAAAAAAGAGGCCCCAAACGGACCCCAAGAGGCCTCAAAACTTCCTCCAAAAGGGCCCCCGAGAGCCCCCCCACGAGATCCCAGCGAACATCCAATAGGCTGTATACACACAACCCATGCATGGTTGCGGGATTGGCCGAAGGCCACTAGATGCACACCAGTATGGACTTCCAACAGCCAACTAGATGTAAATCGGTATTCACTTCGACTGGCATGTCGAAATTCACATCCACAACAAAACGTGGGCCAGAAGAAACATCTAACGTCGGGTCGATGTTGAAATCAATGCACACCGACATGCACCATCTCATGACAATCGAAAGACAAGTGATGATGCCAATCGTAAACAATATCAGGATGCACATCGAAGGCACAGTTCAATTCACATCTAAACGCACATCGCTAAGATGGTCGGAGTGACATTTCGAAGTTCGCATATGCAGCCCCACGTGCAATAGACATGCACATCGACGTGCAACTCTATGGGCAAGTTCCAACCCCACAACAGCTGGTTCATCACCTGGATAATGGTCTACGCATGAAGCATGGAGGCCGCCCAGTCGGCGCTAGACTGGAGGCGGTCCGAAGATCGAGCCGCATCGCCGACAAATCCGACCCCGCCTGCTCCGGCCCCAGCCTGGCGGCCTGGAGCACTGAATCCGCGCCGCGGGTCGCTGGACAAAATCCCGGGTGTGCGGAGGGGAGCAGGGCCAGAGGGCCGATCCCACACTGGGTCCCTGAGATGGTGATGATCGGGAAGCGCGCTTTACGGTTGCCCAAAGGGCGGGGTCCTCTCTATCTCTCTCTCTTTCTCTCTGTCTCTCTCTCGGTGCCTCGCTAGGATGGCGGCGCGCGGTGCGGGAAGGAGAGGGAAGGATCGGGTGCCCACGCACGCTTGTCCTTCCGCAGCGAGGTGGCGGCACCTTCACGGAGCACTGAGCCAGGACACTCTTGGGCGAATTACGCCCAGGCGTGGCTAGAAGAAAGAAAAACAAAAACGCCACAAACATAAACTTTTGGAGCTCCGCACGGATTTGGATCTGCGCTGGATCCCCCCTCCCTGGCGCGCGGAGCGCGACAAGGGCGGCGCCTGAGGCGCCGCCGGATGGGCCCAGCGCGGATCCAAGCAATCCCCGCGGAGCGCCACAAGTTTTTGTTTATGGCGAATAGTCTTCTTCGATCTTAGGCGAAGTACCCCCAGGCGTAGCAGGAGGGTGGACGGGGCGTGGCAGTCGCGTGCAACAAGGTGCACACACCGGGCCCGAAGCGGGGCCTGGGCTCGGGCGCAGGGCCCTCAACATCCACCGCCCACGGGTGGACAAGCGCGTTCCACTACGTCAAGGAACCACTCGCAAATGGCCTGGATCCGCCGCGGGGGGAGTTACGATGCATTACATCCTTGCAGACATGTTATGTTTTGGACGTTTGCGAGTAGGCACTTTGCGAGTAGTGGAACGCACTTGGTGAATGGGGACTCGGTGGCAACTCATATAAGCCTCCCATACCAGCTTGTCGGCTCTTGCGAATCGACGCTGAGCGACGCTGAATCGACGCTAACGGACGCTGGCCGACGCTAAGTCGGCGCCATTCGATCGCCTCATTTCGTTCGTGCGACGCGAACCAACGGTAAAGACGGAATTGAGAGGGTTGGGGCCCGACCACAAGAAACCTTCCACAAGAAACCCAACCCTAACCCCAGGACGTCCCTTAGTTTTTTGGTGTGGGAACGTCGCGCTTTTCATGGTTAGCCACTCCATCGAAGACCAAGAAACGAAGGGCACCCTGGAGGCAAGCAGGGTGCTTCTTGGCATGGGCCTCCACTGCACACCAAACTCCCATGACTTGCCACCGAGCTCCATCCCCCATGGGGAGCTGGATCGCACGGCCAGCTGCCCCGACAACCCCCCCCCCGCGGGGCGCCCGCCTGCTGCCGGGCTGCGCGGCCTGGCCGGCCGGGTCCCGCGGGCCCCGGGCCTGCGGCAGGTGAGGGCGGAGGAAGAGGCACGGAGCAGGGCGCCGCCTGCCTTCTCGTCCTCGTCGTGGTCCTCGTCGTCGCTATCGTCACCCGTCATCGCCGTCGTCGTTGTCGTTGTCGTCGTCGCGTCGTCACGTCGTCGTCGTCGTCGCGGTCCTCGTCGTCGTCGTCGTCATCGGCGTCGGCGTCGTCGTCGTCGTGTTGTCTCCCTCGTCGTCGTCGTCATCGTACTCGTCGTCCTCGTCGTCGTCGTCGACGTCCTCTCCCTCCTCCTCCTCCTCCTCCTCCTCCTCCTCCTCCTCCTGCTCCTCCTCGTCGACGTCCTCCTCCTCCTCCTCCTCGTCGTCGTCGTCGACGTGCTCGTCGTCGTCGTCGCCCTCGTCCACGTCGTCGACCCTCTGCCACATGGGCTCTGCGCGTGCAAACTGGCGATTCCCCCCATCTGTGCTCCGCACTTGCCCCCAGGGACGTCCGCTGCCTGGCGCCCCTCCACGTGGCGTCGGCCATATCTTCTCCTCTTCCTACTCCTCCTCCACTTCCACCTCCTCCTCCTCCTTCCCCTCCTCTTCCTCCTCCTCGCTCGAGCTCCTCGTCTTCCTCCTCCTCCCTCCTCCTCCCTCCCTCCTCCCTCTCCCTCCTCCCTCCTCCTCCCTCCTCCCTCCCTCCCCACCTCCCTCTTCCTCCTCCTCCTCCTTCGCATCATCATCATCATCATCATCATCATCATCATCATCATCATCATCATCATCATCATCATCATCATCATCATCATCATCATCATCATCATCATCATCATCATCATCATCATCATCATCATCATCATCATCATCATCATTATGATCATCAGCATCAGCATCATCATCATCATCATCATCAGCATCAGCATCAGCATCATCACCACCATCACCATCACCATCACCATCACCATCATCATCATCATTATCATCATCATCATCCTCATCATCCTCATCATCATCATCATCAGCAGCAGCAGCATCAGCATCAGCATCATCAGCATCATCAGTATCAGCATCATCAGCATCATCATCAGCATCATCAGCATCATGACAAGTATCATCAGCATCAGCATCAGCATCAGCATCAGCATCAGCATCAGCATCATCAGCATCATCAGCATCATCAGCATCATCAGTATCATCATCACAAACATGATTAGCATCAGCATCAGCATCAGCATCAGCATCAGCATCAGCATCATAATGATCAGCATAATCATCAGCATCATCAGCATCGTGATCAGCATCATCTTCAACATCATCACCAGCATAATCCTCGTCATCACCACCACCACGATCATCATCAGCATCATCACAATCAGTATAGGCATCATCAGCATCGCCATCACCATCAACATCACCATCACCATCACCATCACCCTCACCACCATCATAAACATCATCAGCATCATCATCATCATCATCATCAGCATCATCATCATCATCATCGGCATCAACATCAGCATCATCAGCATCATCACCAGCAGCAACCTCGCGTATCGTCACCATGGTCAGCATCTCATGGTCAGCGTCATCATCATCAGCGGCATCATCAGCAGTATCATCAGCATCATCGTCATACTCAGCATCCTTATCAGCATCATCATCATGAGCATGAGCATGGTCATGATCATCAGCATCATCCTCAACATCATCCTCATCAACATCAGCAGAAGCACCATCATCATCACCATCAGCATCATCATCATCACCATCATCATTATCAGCAGCATCATCATCAGCAGCATCAGCATCGCCATCATCAGAGCATCGTCACAATCAGCAGCAACGCCGTCGTCATCATGATCGGCATCGACATCATCGTAATCGTCATCGTCGTCATCATCAGCAGCATCGGCATCGGCACCATCATCGTCCTGATCAGCATCATGGTCATGATTGATCTTGATCATCATCATCATCATCATCATCAGCATCATCATCATCATCATCACAATTTTCATCATCATCACCATCGTCATCATCATCAGCAGCACCATCATCATCAGCAGCATCAACTTCGTCGTCAACATCATGAACATCATCACCAGCAGCAGCATCGCCATCGTCATCCTTACCGTCATCAACATCATCGCCATCGTCATCCTTACCGTCATCATCATCAGCAGCATCAGCATCATCAGCACCATCATGGTCATGGTCATCATGGTTATGATCAGAATCATGATCCTGACCATCAGCATCATCGTCATCATCAGCGCCATCATCATCACCATCATCACCATCATCATCAGCATCATCAGCATCAACACAATCATCATCATCATCATCATCATCATCATCATCACCATCACCATCACCATCAGCATCACCATCACCATCACCATCACCATCATCATCATCATCATCATCATCATCATCATCATCATCATCATCATCATCAACTACAATTCCCCTCTGCCCTACCCGCCCATGATCACAATAATCCCGCCGCCGCCGTCGCCGCCGCCGCCGCGGAGGCGGCGGCCTGGCACTCAAACTCAAAGAAGAGAAGGATCTGCAACCGCACCCACTGCATCGTTTGGGCCCCCCCGAGTGGCTCAGGATACATTCCACGAGCTCTGGAGCAGCCAACGGCCCTCGCTCCTGGAGCCCGTGCGGCACAGCGGGACAAACATCTTGGAGAGAAGTCCTGGAAGAAATCGCGGAAGCCCCAGAGCGCATCAGCATCATGATTCCTTGCTCATCCGAGCTGAGGGACCACGAAAATGCTTCCCTATACCGCCACTCCCCAGACCGCCCCTGGGGTGCGCTACGACCATGGAGTTCGAGGCTACCCCAGCCGTGGAGACGAGAGCTCTCCAGAGCGAGCAGCGGCACCAAGAACCTGCGCGCGCGCCGTCGGCAAGGCACGCCGACTGGCACCGATGCACCGCAGACGGCACGCTCCGATGCATCGGCGATGCGGCGCGATGCTCCTCCTCCTCCTCCTCCTCCTCCTCCTCCTCCTCCTCCTCCTCCTCCCGCCCACTCGGACCCCCTCTGGGGAGGCCTCGATCCTCGGACTTCCTTCTGGCCCTGAGCTCTCCTCCACGCCGACGTCGCCGATGCATCGGTTGCGCGGCGCGAAGCTCGACCACAAGAAACCTTCCACAAGAAACCCGACCCTGAGACCCCAGGTGTAGGAGCGTCACGCTTCCCACAGCAAAACAATCGAAACCCAAGAAACCCAGGGCACCCTGGAGGCAAGCAAGGTGTTTCTTGGCATGGGTTCCCACTGCACTCAGACCCCATCTGGGAGGCCCGGGCCAGGATTCTCGACCCCTTCCCCTGGGGTACTGTTTCGTCCCGGACCTGAGTCTGACCGCCAGAGGGCCCCAGAGGTCGACATCTCGAGGTCCCAAAGATCGACATCTCGAGGAAGGAACGTCGGGACGGGCCCCGGACACGGGCCCCAAAGGTCGACATCTCGAGGGGGGGACCCGGACACGGGCCCCAGAGGTCGACATCTCGAGGGAGGAACGTCGGGACGGGGCGCAGCAGAACCCCACAGGTGTCCGACCGCATGCCCGCGCAAACGTTCTTCTCCGGGGCGTGTTGCCACGCGCGCGGTGCCGAAGGGGCCCGGAGACACACACACACACACACACACACACATACGCAGACACATCTCCCAGGAATCCTCTCTATTTTCCATATGCTCTGGATGTGTGTCTTAGTTCTAGATTTCATGTTTTCGCCAAATCTCCCATAGTTCCCAATACATTGTAAATCGCCGATTCCTGCGGTGCGGAGCGGAGACGACGATTGCAGCGCCGACGCCGACGCCGACGCCGAAGACGACGACGACGACGACGACGACGACGACGACGGCCGCGGCGGCAGTGGCAACGTGGACGTGGATGTTAACGTGGACGCGGACGAGGACGAGGACGACGACAACAACGATGACGACGAGGACGACAACAACGACAACGATGACGACGACGGCGGCGGCGACGACGACGTGGACGTGGACGACGACGACGACAACGACGACCACGACGACGACGACGACGACGACGACGACGACGACGACGACCACGACAGCGGCGGCGGCGGCGGCGACGTGGACGTGGACGTGGACGTGGACGTGGATTTGGACGTGGGCGTGGACTTGGGCGTGGACGACGACGCCGACGACGACAACGACGACGACGCCGACAAGGGCGAGGGCGAGGACAAGGACGAGGACAAGGACGACGACGACAACGAGGAGGAGGACGAGGAGGACGACGATGATGACGACGTGGACGTGGACGACGACGACGACGACGACGATGACGACGACGATGACGAAGACGACGGCGGCAGCGACGGCGGCGGCGGCAGCGGCGGCGGCAGCGATGGCAACGTTGGATGTGGACGTGGACGTGGGCGTGGACGTCGACGACGACGACGACGATAACGACGACGACGACGACGACGAGGACGACGACGACGAGGACGAGGGCGAGGACAGTTTCGAGGATGAGGACCAGGACGAGGACTAGGACGACGACGACGACGACGAGGGGGAGGAGGAGGAGTGGAGTGGAGCAATCGGACGTAGTCCGTTCGGGAACCCAGAGACGCCAGGGGGGCCATCCAGAATTTCTCGGAGAGCCGTGGGGGGCGACATCCCACGGCACACCGCGACAGGCCCCCCTGGCCTCACAATTTACTCAGAGGCAGCGCCAGCCGCGTGAGAAACGATCGCGGCTTCGGCTGCCGAAACATGCATAGCCTCTAGAACAGACTTGCTGGGACCCGATCTGGACGGATGGAGGCCTCGCCTGATCCTGCTGAGGTTTTCGAGGCCTTTGCCAGTGGGTCCCAGGGCCCTGCGCTCTCCCACTTGGTGGGTGAGAGGGCAAGGGAACTGTAAGCTTTTGACCTGGTGTGTGGCCGTATGGCCGCACTTCACGCAGAAGAACATTTGCCACTTGGGGATGGTGGCCAACGTGTGGGAGGGGTGTATCGCCTTGCCACTGATCACACGGGGACCCCTCGACCACAGCACCTCGCCACACGCAGCAAACTCGGGAAGGGGGCAAGGCGGTACACACTCCGTGGCGGCGGCTGGAATAACCTGGCAAGCATCGACGATGATGAGGCAGGCAGAGCATCGCCATTTGTCTGCACACCGCTCGAATTTGTGCTGTGAAGCCGCGATCGCGGTCTGCAACAGAGAACGAGGGGCTGCCTCCTGCGTGGGTTGCCTCTCTGGCCACAGTCCTCGAGGCTCTGAATTCTTTCCTAAGGAACGTAGGATTAGTCGTGCCCGCTGTCGGACAATCGCTGCGATAGCATCGTATTCGTCAGTCCTGGGCACAGGCGGGAGGGCAAGGGTGGCCGACTTGTGGGCCGCGCTTCCCGCAAGCTCATCGGCTTGCTGATTGCCGAGAGCTAGGAATTTCTGAAAACCGTGAAGAGTCTGGGGATCGGCATGAGATGGGGTCCAGAGCACCGTGACCGAGGAGACGCCGCAAGGTCGATCCTGCACGAGATGCCGAATTCCCAGCCAGAGATCTCCATTCTTATTCTTACCTCTGAGGCTGCCTGGCCTGAGGCATCTGCCAGTCGGCCAACCACGCTGCAAGGCTAGGTGATCGGTAACAAACGTGAAATCCTGATGGCACGTCTCTAGTGCCAGGCAAAACGCATATAATTCTCCACTTGGGACGGTCTGGCGGGGGCCTGGGAGGGGGGCAAGGAGGCCCGCGCGGAGGGTCCAGGAGGCCGAGGGAGGGTTCCAACGGAGGGCCGCGAGGCCAGATCCGACGCGACGTCGCCTGACGTCGTCAGAAAAGGCACCGCCAGACCCGTCACCAAAAAGAAACAAAACTCACCCTCTGCGCTACGAGCACCTTCCCAGGACGGCAAACCCTCCCGCACCGCACCAACAAACTCCCACCCGTCCCTCCCAGTCAATGGCTCGAACGTGGGCGTAGTGAGAGCAACAGAGGGAATGCCACGGAGCCACAAGGCGGGGTCGGCGTCGGCCCCCGCCACGGCTCGCGGCAGTAGCTTGTCGCTGGCCTCAAACTCGGGCCCAACGTTCGCCTCGCACTGTCACATTCGGTGAAACAAGGTTTCAGGAACTCCAGCGCTGCAGCGGTCGCAGTTCCTGTCGATCTGGTAGCCCGCGTTGTGGAGGCGGTCTCTGGTCCACTGTCCTCCGCTGATGATGGTGTTGTTGAGGGCCCAGTCGCTGAAGTCGCCGTTTGCGAGGAACCTCCTTTGTTCAATGCGGATAGTGACCATGTCTGCGCCTCCAGCCAGCGTGTCTCCATGGGCATGCGTAGCGGCCTGCGTCCAGAGGAGCCTGTGTAAATCCTCGCTGAGGTCCTGCAATACTGTGTGAATGCCGGCGTCGAGGAGGTCGGGGTCGTCGGCAGGGGGGAGGTTCCACTCCTCGATGTAGCCGTCCTTCGTACGCCTCCATTTGGTAGCTGAGGTCGGCTCCCAACTAGCCTCCAGCAGGGTCGCGATGGCCGCGCCTGTGGGGCCCTTGACCTTACACCACAGCTTGGGGCCAGCGGCGAGCAAGGTGGTCTTGATCCTTGGCCAGGCTCTGATGATCCTGGCGCGCGTGCTCGGGTGGCGTATTCAGCGCTGAAGCCACGCCTCGATGAGCTCGATCCTTAGGGAAACTCCTGGGTCCATGCCGTCAAAAGTGGCGCCGAGGAGGGAGGTGAGGCATCGGCCTGCGGCAGCGCCCGTGGCTGCAATGGCGGCCTGACGCCGCCAGCGTAGTAGAGCGTGCCGAGCGAGGCCGTGCACCTGATGACCGAATACTCCTTCTGGGAGAGCACCAGTGCGCCACAGTCCAGCTGAGATTCGGGCCTGCTGTGCAGTGCTCCGTAGTCGGTGTATCTTGCGAAACCTGGCTGTGGCTGAGATCTGTCGCTTCCTGGCTTTGGCTTGTACACGTCGAGTAGCCGCGGCCGCGTCAACTCCAAGGTCGACGGCCGTGGAGGCCGCAGTAACTGGGATGTCGTACTGTCGCATCTTCTTGGCTAGCGAGTGGCGGACCTTGGGAGTGGAGCCGATGAGGGCGGTCTTGTCTGAGATAGGCAGCTCGAACTCCTTTAATCCGTCGCAGAGCGTCCTGGCGGCACGGGGGAGGTGCTTCTGTAAAGCACGTAGGACTCCTTCGACTCGAAGAACAGCGTCGTCGACGAAGGTCCACATCTGGGCAAGCTCTGCCTGAGCTTGGGCTTGTCGAAGAATTGGTAGCAAAATAAGTCGTGCCAGGGTGGTGCCGTGAGGGGAGCCTGCAATGATGCCTTTGGAGGCGAAGATAGGCATACTCACCCATTGCCGACTGCGCAAGAATCTGGGCGCCAGGTATAGCTGCACCTCCAATAATAGAATGATGGGAGGAAAGCCGCAGTTGAGGCCGACCATGATGAGGTTGGCGAGCTTGATATTGTCGTAGAACTTCTGGATGTCTAATAGCAAGGTGGCCGACTGTATGCCAAGTGCTGAGGCTGTCTCGTCTAACAAGGCCCTATGTAGGGCGGCTTGGAGAGCTGAAGAGCCTTTGATGGCTGTGGTCCAAAAGTCGTCCAGACCTTGCGTCCAGGCTGCCGATGCGGTAGATCTAATGCGAGACCAGAGTCTGGCCAGATGAGGGAGCGTGCCGAGGACCCTGTCGCCTCCAGACTTCTTGGCGGCGAGAGCTGCAATGGTGCGTGAAATTTGTAGTGGCCAGATGCCTGCTTGCTCCACTGAGTTGGGGATATCTGCATAAGCTTCGACTGCTGGTTCTGGTAATCGATGGAGGTCGCGAGGTCCTAGGGCGCCAACTCCGTGTGCTTTACTGGGTGGCATGCGGCCGTGAATGCGGTGTACGATCTCGGCTGTGATGGGCTCGAGCGGTTGATGAGCAGCTGCTGCCTTGGCCTTTGACAGGGCCTGGAGGATGTCGTCGGAGGTCTCGGTGGCTTGCCATACTTGCTGCCATTGTTGCTTCTTGTTGTCCATGATGGCGGTGGGGTCAGCGATGGTCAGGTTGGCCGTGTAGGCCTCGATGCGACGTGCGGGTGCTGGCTTGACATGGGCGTGTAGTACTCCAGGGCGGTGCTTCCATTGCTGGGCGAGCCAAGCCCCGTAGGCCCTCTTGGACTTGGCGAGGGCGGCCGAGAGGGCTCTGGAGGCCCAGGTAGCGGTAATGGTGACCAAGTCGTAGGTGTCATCCTTGTCCAGGTGCGGGGCCCAGACGAGCGCAAACCAGCGGAAAATGGTGTCCTCATCCTTCTCGAACTGAAGGTCGTGCATGTGAGTGTTGAAGTGGTCCGCGCGCTGCTGGATGATGGTGGCCTGCTGCTGCATAAGCGCTGTGTGCTTGGGCTTGTCGTGAAGCGCGGCGTAGCGCTTGATGAGGGTGAGCGTAATTGCCCACCATTCCGAATGTGGGTCGTGTACGTGCACGCGGCCTGGGGCAGCAGCTGTCTTCTTCCAAGATAACTGGTAGCCCTGAGCTCGGCCAGTGTATGCTGCAGCTTCCTTCGGGTCAATCTGGTGGTGGCTGATCATGGTGTTCTCGAGCGCCGTGACCCATTTGGCGTACTTGAGGTTGAGGACGTCGGCGTCGTGCACCCAGTGTCTGTACGCGAAGTGCGCGTGTGGCTGCTTACAACGTGTGGGCACCGCTTCCTGCCATTGTTTTTCCCACAAGTCCATCGGGATGGCATAGGGGATAGGTTCCTGTGCTGCGGGCTCGTCTTGTGGCTGAAGCTGTGCTGCTGCTTGTTGGAGTTCAGGAGGTAGATCACGGAGACGTGCTGCTCGAGCTTCAGCTGTTTTACGTTTCTTGATGGCGGTCTTGCTGTTGGGGTCTGGCGGAATCCTGGGTCTGTCCACTATGGGGAAGGACTTGGGGGCATCGATCGACTGATACCACCAGGGGTCTGCACTGCCTGCTCGAACTTCAAGGCCAACGTGGGTGGCCCAGGGTACTGTGGGGCACTGGCGAATGGAGATCGTGTGCTCGATGCCAGTCTTGACCAATGCGAAATCAAGCGTGAGTCCCTGGCCCTTGTCGCAAGTGGCGGATCCAGGTGCTCGCACGATGGTAGCATTCCATTTGGCGAGCCACTCTGTCGCTGCAAGCTGCTCCGGTGTCATGTTCCAATCGGCCAGGATGATCCAAGGGTCTGTGAGCATAGTAACGAACGCTCCCAGCGAAAGTAGCTTATCGTGTACTGCACCCTCGATCTGCCTGCGGGGTTCCAGATACGCAGCAATAACAACCAAGTTGCCAGAACGTCTGTGCCATACCATGGGCGTGAAGCCGTGGAACGGGTCAGGCCTGCGCTGGGAGATGGCAAGGTCACGGAGGTGGTTGAACGTGGTGGCCTGGACATGGTACCTGGATAAGATGATCTCGCCACCCGTGTTGCCGCCGTCTGATCTACTGGTAGGAGTGGCCGTAGTCGATGATATCCCCCAACCATCCGCCGCTAGCTTGTCGTAGATGGGCGGCGCTTTTCCAGGCGAGATGTGTGTTTCAACTAATGCTACCATCTGATATTGCGTGCCTGGTCCTGCCAACCATTTCTCCGACTGTGGCCCCCATTGAGTAATGTTGGAGAAGAACAGGGAATGGTCTGACAGCGGGGGCTTCGTAGGGCCTTCGCCTTGGTAGGCGGGACTAGGGTCGGCTCTCGGGCTGCTGGGCTTCCATGGCCCTTTCCCTGCGGGCGTGTCGACAGCTTTCGCCATCTCATCGCCCCCTACCAAGGACTGCGTCTTGGGCGGGGCGGCATCAGGGTTTGCCTTTGGCGAAGGCCCCCCTGGTTCCTGCACCACATGCACGTCGACAGCTTGTGCCGTCTCATCGCTCCCTACCGAGGACAGCGTCTCGGGCGGAGCGGCATCAGGGTCGGACCGCGTAGCACGCCGCGGCTGCCCTGGGTCCCATACCACGGGGTCGACGGTCTGCGCCGCCTCATCGCCCCCTACCGAAGACAGCGTCTCGGGCGGGGCGGTAGCGCACTGCTCGGAAACTGCGAAATCGATGTGGGCGTCCAACTCGGCCAGCTCTTCGAACGGGTCGAGGACTGCGTCCATTGTATTGATGATCGGTGGGTTGTCGTAGATCGTGGTCTCTGACGGTAGGCGCCCCGTCTCACCATTCCGTCCAGGGTCGGGTTGTAGTCGGCTAAAGAGGCTGCTGCGGTCCAGCGGCGGCGGCAGCAGTGGGCTTGCGCATCTGGCTGAGCATCTTCTGTGCCTTGTCTTCGAGGTCGGGGTCCTTGTTGAGTGCAGGTACAGGCTGCGTGGCGTAGCCGCCGTCAGAAGAAGCGCCAGCAGCAGGCGCGGGAGGCTCATCGCTTGGCGCCGCTGGCGGAGAGGGCGCAGTGCCCTCAGCATCCGCTGCGGCTGCCGCTGGGGGTTCGCCCGCTGCAGCCGAGGCGGCGGGCGGTGATCCACCTCCCTCTCTGGCGTGCCCATCCTCGTCAGCGCGCTGCCGCTTGGAAGCGAAGCGCGTGCGCATGGTGCTGGCCTCTGCTCGGAGCTGGCTGATGCGGCTGGCGGTGTTGCCGAAGAGCTCAGTGACCTTGGCCTTGAGCTCCGTGGCAAAGCGCTGTTGCAGGGATTCCCATGCCTGGCGGTCGCTGTCGTCGATGTCGAGGCCTTGGAGATCGAACGCTGCACCCGCTTCGATGGAGATGTCGCCGTCCTCGAGGAGGCTGGTGAGGTTGAAGGTCGGGTTCTGCTGCGACGGCGTAGAAGTAGCTGTGCCGCCCTTGCGGGCGGCTTGGAGTGCGTCGAGAGCCGCTTGGGCCTCCGCCTGGGCTTCAGCCAACTTGTAGGCGGCCTCCTCCGACGCCTGCTTGCGCTCTGTGTACCAGCTGAGCGCCTTCTGCTCGCTCTCCAGCAGCCTCTCCAGGCTGTTCTTGCAGCGGCGCTCCGTAGCCTGGGCGCGGCTGTAGATGTCGTTGAGGTCGGCTGGCTTCTGCGGCTGGGGCGGCGGAATCTGCGACTTGATGCCGTCAATGGCTGCCTTGTCGATGTGGGGGGCGATCGCCTGGAGCTCCGCCAAGATGTCCTCGGCGGAGCGAGCCTTGGGGGCGTCGTTCTTGCTGGCCCACCAGTCGTCGTCTTGGTCCTTGCCGTTGCCCTTGCCACGGCGGCGGCGGGACTTGGGCCATGATGACCACGGCCCCCAACCTCCCTCGGGGCTGGACTGCTGGGTGCACTTGGCCTCGGCCTGGGCTGCGGCTGAGACACGGGCCGCCCAAGCACCTTGCACCGGAGGCGGGGCATCTGTCCACGGCGCCAAAGCTTTGCCACACCAGTAGCACGTCTGCTTGGTCTTCCAGTTCCAGGCGTACGAGCAGGAGTAGCACTTGACGTAGCCGCTGCGCTGCTGCGGAGGCGCCATGGACGAGCTGAGGAACAGAGAAAGCTCACCTGCGGGCAGCACGAGGCACACGGAGCGTTGAACAAAACTGTCGGGCTAGAGAGCCCTGGCACTGGCCGCGGACTAGCGGTATCCACTTGTTCCCCTGCGGAACTAGGCATCTTGAGCCAAAATGGCTACGGAGGGGGAGGAGGAGGAGGAGGAGGAGGAGGAGGAGGAGGAGGAGGAGGAGAAGGAGGAGGAGGAGGAGGAGCAGGAGGAGGAGGAGTAGGAGGAAAAGGAGGATGAGAAGGACGACGACGACGAAAACGGCGGCGGAGGCGGCGACGACGGCGACGTGGACTTGGACCGACAACGACGACGATGACAACGGCCACGACGAAGACGAAGACGACGACAACGACAAGGACCACGACGATGACGAAGACGACCGCGGCAGCGACGGCGACGGCGGCGGCGGCAGCGGCGGCAGCGGCGACGGCAGCGTGGACGTGGACGTGGGCGTTGACGTGGACGTGGACGTGGACGTGGACGTGGTCGTGGGCGTGGACGTGGACGTCGACGTGGACGTCGACGTGGACGTGGACGTGGACGTGGACGACGACGACGACGACGAGGATGAGGGCGAGGACAGTGACGAGGACGAGGCCGAGGACAACGACGAGGACGACGACAAGGACGAGGAGGAGAAAGAGGAGGAGGAGGAGGACGACGACGACGAGGACAACGATGACGACGACGACGACGACGACAACGACGACGACAACGGCGGCGGCGGCGACGTGGACGTGGACGTGGACGTGGACGTGGACCTGGACGTGGACGTGGACGTGGACCTGGACGTGGACGCGGACGACTACGATGACGACAACGACAACGATGACGACAACGACGACGACAAGGGCGAGTGCGAGGACAGGGACGAGGACGAGAACGAGAACGAGGACAAGGACGACGACCGACGAGGAGGACGACGACGACAACGACGACGACACCGACGACGTCGACGACGACGACGACGACGACGATGACGTCGGCGGGGGCGACGGCGGCTGCGACGACGACGTGGACGTGGACGACGACGACGACAACGATGACGACGACGACGACCACGACGAGGACGAGGGCGAGGACGAGGACGAGGGCGCGGACGACGACGAGGACGACGAGGACGAGATGGAGGAGGACGAGATGGAGGAGCAGGAGCAGGAGGAGGACGACGACGGCGACACGAGCGCGGTGCGCGCGCGGTGCCGTCTGGCTGCCGCCGCCCCGCGGCGGCTCCGGCGCGGGCGGCGGGCGGCTCCCGCCGCGGGGCCCGCGGGCCGAGGAGGCCTGGCAGCGCTCCCGCGGGAGGGGAGCTCCTGACGTCCCTTTCGCCTCGTCCTCATCCTCGTCCTCGTCCTCCTCCTCCTCCTCCCTCCTCCTCCTCCTCCTCCTCCTCCTCCTCCTCCTCCTCCTCCTCCTCCTCCTCCTTCATTATCCTCATCCTCGTCCTCCTCCATGCTCCTCCTCGTCATTCTCCTCCTCCGTCCTCCCCCCTCCGCCTCCTCCTCCTCCTCCCTCCTCCTCTTCCTCCGCCTCCTCCTCCTCCTCCTCCTCCTTCTCCTCCTCCTCCTCCATCGTCCTTGTCCATGCTCCTCCATGTTCCTCCTCCAAATTCTCCTCCCTGTCCTGGTCCTGCTCCTCCTCTCTCCCCTCCTCCTCTCTCCCCTCCTTAATATTCGTCCTCCTCCTCCTCCTCCTTCTCCTCCTCCTCCTCCTGCTCCTCCTCAATCTCGTCTCCATAGAAGTAACTCCTTTGTGTCAAACCCCCAGACGTGTCGGCAGGGCGGGCTGGTCGCTTCGCCTGGAGACTTCCTTACTATTCATGATCCTGACGCTTGAACTTTGCAGCAGCTTCGAGGGTGGAGGGCGGGTCGTTTTCAAAATGTGGCTCTCGCTTTAGCGCCGCGCGCATTCGTCTCCAAATTCTGTAACAGTTTCAAAGTAAGGCTCTCGACTTAGCGCCGCGCGCGCTCGTCTTACAAGCCTGCCGCAACTTCGAGGAGGCAGGGCGGTTCCTTTTCAACATGTGGCTCTCGCCTTAGCGCCGCGCGATTACTGCCCCAAACCCAACGCGTACAGCAGGAGCTCGACCACGAGAAACGTTTCCACGAGAAGCCCAACCCTGAGACCCCTAAAACGTCCACTGATTTTCGGTGTGGGAACGTCACGCTTCCCATAGGGAGTCCATCGTCAAGTGAAGCGTGCCTAGACGGCACATTGGTTGCAGATCTCATGCATGAGTATATACAGCAGTACGCTGGCGTCGACAATGCGAGAAGCAAAGCATAGCCATCGTCGCCGGCTCCGGCTCCATGCGCAGGGACTCTCTAAAGATCTACGCTTCCGTGCCCGACCCGCCCAAAACCCCACTCGGTGGACGACCCGGGAGAGCAGCGGCAGCAGGAGGCAGAGGAGGGAACGACACCCGGGGGCCAGGACGAACCCGGAGCCGGGGGAGGGAGGAGAGCGAGCGACACGACGCCGGAAAGAGGAGCTGAGGGCGAAGCCCGGGCGACCGCCCGAGGGACGAGCAAGGGGGAGAGAGCAGGCAGAGGAGCGACGCAGGACGGCGGAAGAGGGGACGACGACACCACCTGGAGGGCAGGCGGGCGGGGGGAAACCGGGGTAAAAATTCAGAGTAGTATGCAGCATACCCTAAAACATGTGATTAAATTCATGTCGATTTAAACAGTGCCTCAACACTGCTTCTTTCCACGCGCGTTGATTGAAACTGCTCTGCCCGATCGTTTGTCGGACTGCCTCCTCCTGACTCAAGGCCCCGCCGTGCGCGCGCGTTGCTATTGTCACCGCGTGCGCGTGCACTATCGTAGCCCACTGTAACCTTGGACGCCCCCTGCGGCGTTTCCCAGGGTCGAGGAGACGGGAATTCCCGCTCTGGAAGACACTCTGTCGAGTCAGCGATTCGTTGGGCAGGGCGGACAGCTCTCCATAGTAAAACAATTGCCTGGCAAGCAAAAGCTGGCTTAAACATTCCTGGTTTGCCCTGCACCGGACCTCTGCGTTGCTAATATGGGGAATCATCGAATGTGCAATGTTAAAATCTTACGCAGACACTGAGCTTGAAAAGCGTAGATTTTTACCCTGTCTGCCGTGTGCAGACAGAGTGTTTCGAGGCTGTAAGCGAGTTTAGACACAACGCACGCCCTAAACAGATGAACCTTTCTTGCCCTACTTATGTTGGCATGCTTCCAAACGGCTTGCAGCGCATCGAAAGACGCGCGGGCTTCACCTACGCGTCGGGCAACGGATGCCCCTGTTTTCCCGTCTGCCCTGAGGAGGCTGCCTAGGTAGACCGTCGAGGTGACCGTCTTGAGCGGCATGCCCTGCGGCGTGTGGATGTCCTCGTTGTGCCGGATGCGCATGTGCACGGTCTTGTCCCAGTTGGGCCCCAGTCCGTACATGCGAGCTCTGAAGATCAGCTTGTCCAAGGAGAACTGCAACCTTGCGACGTCATTCCACACCAGCGCCGTGTCGTCAGCGTAGGCCACGTCGGCGCTGAAAGCATCACCGCTCGAGCGTCCAAACTGCGAGATAACGTCTTGCTCGACATCCCCCATCAGTACGCTCAGCATAATGATGAACAAATGCTGACTACCTACCAGACCACCCCAACCCAACCCGAAGACACGAATTT